CTGCTTGCTTCTCTCTTTTACATCTCAAAAAAGATTGATTTAAGACAAAATCTAATCTTGTAGATTGAGTCCTGTCTCATTAACATAACTGCCTCTAATCCTGCTTCATTAACATCACAGAGGTAGGATTCAGAACACAAGAAAATCACATCAGATGACAAAATGGTGAACAATCGCACAATACTGGGAATCATGGCCTAGCCAAATTGAAACACTTTTTTGGGGACACAATTCAATCCATGACACAGGGCAAATGATTCTGCCCACCACCCTGCTCCAGGGACGTTTGGCAAAGTCTGGAGACATTTGTGGTTGTTACAAATGGGAGAAAGCTACAGCATCTAGGGGGTCGAGGTTAGCAACACGTCCAACATCCTACAATGCACAGAACAGCTCTGGCCCAAGATGGCAACAGTCGATGGTGCTCAGGTTCAGAAAATGCTTCAAAGAGATAACAATGGCTTGCCTACCACCTGATGGAAGTGGAGAGGTAGGGCTGGTCAGCAATGGAGGCCCTGGGAAAGGTTGCTCAGGGAGACAAGCATTGGCAGGGCCCAGCCGGGTCCAATCTGGGTGGGAGGCTGAGTCACGGAAAGGAGAATCCAGGCTGTGCTGCGAGGCTGGTACAGACAATGGACTCCTATCATATGGGGGCAAGCTAAAGTCAGCCTGTCTTACAAAAATAAACACAACACATAAATGTATAAGACAATCAGGGAAATAGGAACATTCACTGGATATTCAATAATATTAAGTAATTGCTACTAGTTTCTCAGATGTTGTATTGTTGTATAACAATATTACCACAAGTTTGGTAGTTTAAAACAAAACACACTTATTATTTCAGTTTCTGTGGGTCAGGAGTCAGGCACGGCTTGGCTGGGTCATCTGCAAGGCTGCAGTGAAGGTGTTGGTTAGGGTTAGGGTGGGAGTCTCATATGAAGGCTTGACTGGGGAAAGATCTGCTTCCAATCTCACACAGGCTGTTGGTAGAATTCAGTTCCTTGCTGTTGTAGGACTGAGGGCCTCATTTTCTTGCTGGCTGTCAGCTAAAGGCTGACCTTAGCATTCAGAGGCCACCTACAGTTGCCAGGTGGCATTCTCCAACATGGCACCTTACTTCCTCAAAACCAGCAAGGGAAAAGGACTCCAGCAAGACGGAGGCTGCATAACAAATTGCCTCATAACTTAGTGACTGAAGACAACAAACATTTATTAGCTCATATTCTGTGAGTTAGGAACCTGGAGCAGCTGACCTGGGTACCTCTGGCTCTGGGTCTCTCACAGGCTGCAGTCAAGGTGTCAGCCGGGACTGTAGTCATCTGAGGCTTGACTGGGGCTGAAGGATCCACTCCCAAGCTCATTCATGTGGCTGTTGGCCAGAGCCCTCAGTTCCTGGCTACCTGGGCCTCTTGATAATGCTGCTCATGATGTGGCAGCTGGCTTCCCTCAGAGCAAGTGACGAGAGAAAGAGAGAGAGACAGAGTCACAGAGAGAGGAGAGAGAGAGAAAAAAAAAGAGGAAGAGAGAAAACAACCAAAACAGAAATCGCAGACTTTTGTAACCTAATCTCTAAAGTGACATAATGTCATTTCTGCGTATGCTGTTGGTCAAACAGACCAACTTGGTAAATGTGGGAGGGAACCACACAAGGGTGTGAATAGAAGAAGGTGGGGGTCATTGGGAGCCATTCTGGAGGCAGGCTAATATAGAGCATAAGGCAAAAATTAAGTGTTGTCAAAGTTATCCCTAAACATCCCATAAATAACCCATAAGGATAGCACACAGATATACCAGTTTACAAGCCCAACACCGCCAGCTTTTTCTCTAGTGATGGAATAGACAACTTTCTCCTGAGTGCTAGATGAAGCTGTTGGCTTGAGTTAGGGACCATGGTTGTTCAAAAATAAATATCTTTAACATTAAAATCACATTTGGCCCTGAGCGTGTATAGTTGAATTCAAATAAATTACATGCAGCATGATGGAATTCTAAGGCATTGCTAAAGTGGGGAAGCTTACCATATCTTGATGACAGCTGCCATCTAAGTTCATTTGGCTGACTCTTTTTTTTCCAGTTCTGTAACTACCAAGCAGCTTTCTGATTATAATTTGGCTTCCCAAACAGATTTGCAAATGGGGGAAAAAAGTGCTTTCATCTAATCCATTCCATGGTTACATTTCGTATTGTAAAATAACAAATTTGCATTCTGGTTTATACATCAGTCTCTATGGCCTCGGTTAATGTGAGTCTGCCCCTGAGAGAAAGATTCACTCTTGGTGCACTTACATAATAGGCTTCTGCACTTGCACCCCAAGCCTCTGGACTATGATAAATTTACCCAAGTAATGTGACCCTCAAGAGAAATGTCTGAGTAGCCTGAAAACCTTCCCCAGGTATGGCAGTTTTATTTACCACACAGAATATATCCATGAGCTCCCCTACATTTCTCAGCTCCCTTGCTGTTAGATGGGGCTATGCAACCAGTTCTGGGCTACAGGCTGTGAGCAGAATTGACTTCTATCATACTGAGGTTTCCATTCACTCTTTTCTAATGCTGCAGCAACCATGGAGACCACATGTGGAGATGACAGAGTGTAAAATCAGCTTGAGTCCCTGCATGAACATAAGGAAGAGGTCCTTCCCTGACTGTACTAGATAAGTAATATGAACAGAAATAAATGTTTATATTAAACCACTGTGATTTTGTAGCTATTTCAAACTCTAACATAACTTAGTCTAACCCATACACCAGGGGATGCCAACCTTGCTGTGAGCACTTTTTCAGCCAATGGCAGCATTAAATGTGAGTGCTGGGCTACATCTCTAACAGTCTCCCTCCCATTCCCTCTGTCTACTCTTAATAAAAGCAGGTAGGCAAGAGGTGGGCAGAAGTTAAAGATGAAGGAAAAACTTAGCTGAAACTAGAGTTTTAAAAGTGCTCTCATACCTTCCCTACACGTATGGGCAGAAAACTCACTTTATACAGTGTCATGGATTGAATTATGCTCCCCAAAAAATGTGTGTGTCAATTTGGCTGGGCCATGATTCCTGGTACTGTGTGATTTTCCTGTATGTTGTAAATCCTGCCTCTATGATGTTAATGAGGGAGGATGGGTGGCAGCTGTGTTAGTAAGGCAGGACTCTATCTACAAGATTGGATTGTGTCCTGAGGCAATCTCTTGAGATATAAAAGACAGAAGTGAGCAGAGAGACAGGGGGACCTCATACCACCAAGAAAGCAGTGCCAGGAGCAGAGCGTGTCCTTTGGACCCGGAGTCCCTGCACGGAGAAGCTCCTAGTCGGGGGAACAATGATGAGAAGGCTGACAGAGAGAGAAAGCCTTCCCCTGGAGCTGACACCCTGAATTTGGACTTTTAGCCTACTTTACTGTACGCAAATAAACTTCTTTTTATTAAAACCATCCACTTGTGGTATTTCTGTTATGGCAGCACTAGATGACTAAGACACACAGTATGTTTATCCTAGTGAATCTGTGCTTCTGCTACCCAAGATGTCATTTCATGTCCTCTCATTTATCTATTCAGGTGTGCTTGTCCTGCCCTCACCTCTCCTTTCCCTGCTGCTATCTTTCGTAAATATGACCACTCAGCAGGCTGACCAAGTAAATATAGTCAATTGCCCTGCCTATTGTGACTCAATTGTCTATTGATAAATGGACAATTTAAAAAATAGCTTATAAAAGTGAATATGTGGTCTTAAAAGCTGGCAAGCAGCTTCCAAGGTACAACAACTGGTCTGTATTCACCTGGAGCAACAGAGGAAGAAGGAGAGTCAGGAATAGGAGGAGAAAATGGAATGTGTGGGCTAATGGACTCCATGAACAACTGCCTTCTTTGTCATGAAACCAGAAGAACTGGATGGTACCCAGCTATCCTTACTGAACATTTTGATCAAAGACTCTATAGAAGAATACTGATCAAAGGGGGGTAAATGCAGCACAGAATTTCAAATTCTTTTGGAAACCAGACTTTCTAGAACCATGAAGCTGACTGAACCCCTGAAACTATTGCCCTGAGATAATCTTTAAACTTAAACCAAAAATATCCCTTGAAATCTTCTTGAAACCAAACAGTAGTTTAGCTTAACTAGAAAAAAAGGTCTGCCTTGAGCATTATACTCTTTTAAGAACTGTCTATATGGGATCAAAGTGACAACAGCAACTTGAAAGATTAGATAGGAATCTTAGGGGGCAGTGAGTTAATGTTAATGAGGGAGGAACAACTCAGAAAAGGAGAGTGAGAACAGTTGCACAACCTGAAGGATGTAATCAGTGTCACTGAATTGCACATGTAGAAACTGTTGAATTGGTGTATGTTTTGTTGTGTATACTCCCAACAACAGCAACAAAATAAAACTAAAAAAGAACTTAGCATACACTTGAGAGAGAAAATTTAGGCCCTTCAGACTACGCATTTATATAAAATGACACATGCAATTTAGTCCCAGGTTGGGAAAACCTCATACTTTGAGAAAACCCTCCAGTCATGTCCCTCTAATGTGTTGTGATGAGCTGTGAGGTGGGGGGAAAGTGGGTCGTTGTTTATTAACTAAGGTAAGGACTGAAGCTGGTGAAATATTTACTTCACTGTAAAATGAGGGGAAACACAAAATTCCTGCTACAATAAATTCACTCTTACACACTTTAGTAAAAATAGGAAACATGGTAGCAATTAAGGTGACAAAATCTGAGGTACTCCACAGCAACTTCTGATTAGCTTGCAATTATAGAGATGGCTGAGAATTGCCATCAATGCGATCATCTTAAACGAACACACTTACTAACCTGAGAAAGTCTCCACCCAAAAGTCAACTACAGATATCCAATATTACAGATTTAACTGAACATAAACCTGTTAAAACCCATTTTATTGAAGTAAGGGAAGAATTTCTTTTAAGTTATCACATATCAGAAAAGAGATTACATTACTTTCAATGTTTAATAGTACAAGGTAGTATAAAGCACATATTCTTTTTTTAATTTTGGGATTTGGTTCTAATTTTTAGTTATGGTACATGAGTTCAACAATAAAGAAAATATTTTTTAGACCCATTAAATTACCTTTAATCATATCACTCTGTATATGAACTACTTTCACTTTTCTATCCTTGTCCATGTACATTCATAATTCTCCATAGATGTAGCATAACAATGATAACATTTTATAGCTTACTGTGCTTTTCTTTGTTAGTATTATATCATTAAATATTTTTCTATATTTCCACAGAGTTTACCGGGTCTTTTTAATGGATGCAAAAGATTCTATCAGGTATTCGCACCTAAATTTTAACAGTTTAATCTCATTCCTCATAAACTTATTCCTCATTCTCTGATTGGCTATCATAATCAAAAAAAGTGATGACATTACTTTTGATATTGGTCATATACATTTTAAATACACTCACAGGTAGAGCCAAAACTCTATTAATTAATTAGTCAGGAAGCATTCTTAACTCTCCACTAGCATGCCTTCATTTTTCTATTTATAATGTAAAAATTAACTGGACTACAAACAAGTTTGCTAAAGGCAGCCTGTTACATTTCTCTCTCTCTTTTTTTTTTTTGGCAGAAAATACTTAGTCATTGAAGATAGCAGCACCTCAGCCAGAGCATCTTTAGGTTGTCAGAGTGCCCTCTAAAACAATAGCAGCACCTCCCCTAATGTCAACTCGTCCATCAGCACGCACTGAAATCACCAGTTCTCCTCCTCGTTGAGAACACTGAAAGGCTAGAGAAATCAGAAAACAAGTCACAAATTGAGATCATTTTCTGCTTTTTAATCAACAGAACAGAGTGAGACCTCTTATTGCAAGTCCTAGCATCCTCCAAGGTCAGTTTAAGGGTAAATTTGTTCACCTGTTCATGGTACTGCCCACCTCCATTCTCTCAAGGACTGCGAGGACCACAAATGAAATCTGGTCTACAAAATACACAACTCTTTATCTTCCCTTCCTGGGACTTCTCCTGGGCCATTTCCTCTACTACCTCCTGTGCTGCCCCAGACACACCCCAGGTACAGCTCCCTCCCCAGCTCTCTCTAGGAGGAAGCAAGGGTGTGTGGGAAGATGGAGGCACAAACCAGACATCTCAGAAGAGAAGCAGTGTGGTCTGGGCCCTTCTGACAAGGTCCCATCTTCCCAGCTCTGAATATGATTGCTGCCATTTGCCTGATGCTGCAGATGTGGTGGAAGATAGAACAGAGGATTCCTTCACTCATAACGTCATCAAGCGACCCTTGAGGGCCAGGCAAACAAAAGAAGTAGGGTCTCTGCCTTCCTGAGCTCAGTTCCTGGGGGACTAATTAGGCTCACCAAGGAAAGAGACTGCCATGCTGCTAACCCCAAATCAAGGCCTCAGAGGCCTAACCCTCCCACTAAGTCCTCCATCCTTTGGGGTCAGACTCCTACTCTGATAATCAGGGCAGTGTAGCTCCACTGACTGTGATCTCGTCTCTGTGCCCCTGAGCAATATATGAATCACCAGGGGACCGCATTCCAAAGTAATTTGTTTGATTTTATCCCATGACTAGCAATGTCAGTAAGGAACCTTGATGATCATCGGTGATCATCCACGCTCAATCCATCACACTATAAATAACTTTTCTCGGCCGTGTTGCTGTTGTTACCTGCCATCAAGTCAGCCCCCGACTCATGCCGACCCCATGCACAATGGAACAAAACGCTGCCCAGTCCTACACCATCCCCATGAATGGTTGCGGATTGAACCATTGTGATCCATAGGGTTTCCACTGGCTGATTTTTGGAACTAGATCACCAGGCTGTTCTTCCCAGTCCATCTTAGTCCAGAAGCTCCATTGAAACCTGCTCAGCACCATAACAATACACAAGCCTCCACTGACAGACAGGTGACATGAGGTGCATTGGCTTGGAATCAAACAGGGTCTCCTGCATGGAAGGCAAGAATTCTACCACTAAACCACCAAGGCCCCCACTCTCTGGGCCATGCAGCTAGTTAATTCTATTCAGTAACCATTTATTGGGTACTTACTTTATTAGAAGGGTCTGTGGAGGATGGGTGTAGAGAGTGGAAGATGTGTTGGGTAAAGGGTTAAGGGTAAAGGAATTGATCAACCTTGCATTTCCACATGACCTATACACGGCATTTCATCACATTTCCCAGTGGAAAGGCAATAGGCAAAGAAGCCCCAGCTTGAAGTTGTTGTTGTATGCTATCGAGTGAAGTTTGACTCACAGCAAGCCCATGTGATGAGTAGAACTGACCCACAGGGTTTTCTTAGCTGTAATCATTACATAAGCAGATCACCAGGTCTTTCTCCCTCGGACCCACTGGGTAGGTTGGAACTGCCAACCTGTCGGTTAGCAGCTGACCACTTCACCATTGCGCCACTAGGGACCCTTAAAGTTAAGCAAATGAAAAAGAAATTGGAAAAGAGCGGTCCTACCACGCATCTCTTTCTTCCCCAGCTGCTGGGACCAGTAGCTGCTGAGAACAGTATGTGCAGACCCTTCAAAGAAGCGAAAAGTTGTAAGTCAATCCCGAAGAAAAAAACAGGTGGTAGCTTTGTGGTAAATTTATAAGCAATTACAGTCTATCACGTAAAAGAATTCCAGTTTGACTAAGCCTTCGATGACCCAATCATGACATTGGCCACGGCTACAGCAAACAGTGTGGGATTAGGAGGTAGAAAGGTGGACACAGAATTTATGGATAAACTCCTCCAAATTATGTCTCCAATATGTCTTACACCTTCTGAAGGCTGAATTAAATTGCAGGTTAGTCTCGTTGACTAGCTCATTGTCAGTCTGTGGTGGGGAGATCAAAAGTTTCACATAGATGTTTCTACTTCTTTCAGGTGAAGATATTTCTCTCCCCCTAGGAAGCATGTGCAAGGAAATGTGGGAACTCTGACACAAGGTCTAACTCTCCACCAAGCCAATATTGCCCAGCTTTTGAATTTTCCTTTTAGTGAGGTATTTCTTCACATGATTGTGCCCTAGGTTTATATCAGAGAATATATTTTAAAATGAAGAAACAAAATGGAAAGTAATAACTGATGGAGAAGTCTTTGGGGGAGAAAGGATGGGGAGGAAAAGGCCCCTCCAGGAAAACTTATTAAATGTTATAGGAGGTTCAAGCAGGGTGGCCACTGTCCCAGTTTGCCCAGGACTGTGCTGGTTTTAGCACGGAGGGTCTTGCATCCTCAGACACCCCTCAGACCTGGGAAAACTGGGATGTTTGGTCTCTGCCGTCCGAAGACCTTAAGCGCTAGAAAAACATTATTATAGGAAAAAAACTTGCCCTCTGTGCCGATTAAAATCTTTGGGAAGCAGCTGTGCATGTGCAAATGTGCTCAGAATTTCTCTTCCACGGGGAAGGGTTGAGTTGGATTGTCTGGATGTCTTTGGGCATATTCCTGAGTCTTTAAAAGTGCTCGCTTGCTGAGCTTTGCATTTCGTGTGTTTTGTTCCTCAGAGAGTAAGTCAAGGTCCTGAAGTCATCTGACTAGTACCGGAGCCTCTCAAAGCCTCTTCCCCAGCCTCCTTCGCCCTGCTACTACCCATCCTGCCAGCCCCATCTTCTAGCATCCTCGCCCTTTTGTTGCTCAGCCCGCTGCTCTGGAAGACGGTGAAATCGGAGGCTTGACATTGCTGCCCGTCTTAGATTTCATCCCTCTGCTTCAGCCTGGTGGAAGATCCCCAACACCCACTTCCCAAACCCATCTCACGTCACTTTAGAGGCCAGCCCAGGAAAGGAGAAGGAAAGGGAATGGAACGCTATTCCCGTTCCTCTTCCCCACCTGCAAGCCAAGAGTTTATCCTTCACAAACCAAACCTTATCTAGACATCAAAGATGCCACAAGTGATACAATAATGACAGGCCTGTCACTGAAAAGGACAAAAGGTTTTGGGAACCTACTGGAATCAGCCTCTGAATTTTGCAAATTGAAAACCTGGAGGTGTCGGCTCAGAGAGCTAATTTCACTGTTACTATTAAAATAGCTGATAGTTTACCAGGGCCGGGCAGGACGGAGGGAAAGGAGGACACAATGCTTAGGGGACACCGAGCTTCTGTTAAAGGTGATGGTTTAAAAAAAGAAAATAGCCAATAGTTTTTGGGTATTTACTGTGTGTCAGGCACTTAACACGCACTGTGTTGGCATAACGCTGTGAGGCATTATCTGTCCATTACAGAGGAGACGATTGAGAGTAAAAAGTCAAGTAACTTGCCCACGGTCAAGTGCTAACAAGCGAGGATGGAAACCCAGGCCGCCTGACGCTAAGCTCTAACCCTGCTGCACTACCTCCTTTTATTCCGTACTTTTCACATGAGACTTCAGCGAAGGGGATGTGGAGCAGAGAGAAACAAAAGCAGCTCGAAACCCAAGCAACCTGAAAAGTCACTTGAAGTGCACTTAAATAGCCGTGTGCTATCTTCCTCCACCCTTGTTTAACCCTTCCCTGAACTCAAGTAAAACTGTACCTGTGACAGGGTCTTCGGCCACGCCAACCCACGGTGCAAAATATCTGGAGTAAAAGTCAAATGCTTGGGTCTGCCCACCAGGCTCTCCTTTAAGGGTGAGAATGAGTCCTTTCACCTTCCCTGTGTTTTCAACTTGCAGCAGATCCTGTGTGTTCACTTTCAGGCCCTCCAGAAATGACCTTGTTCATAAATGGATGGATTAGGACAAACGTATTTCACAGACCACACACCACACATACTCTGTCAAACAGACAGGGTGCAGTTTGCCCCCAGCAGCTCAGCAAGAGGGGAAGGAAGAGCAAGTAGAGAAGAAACTGTCTGCTGAGTAAATCATGGTTTGAGTGGAGACAGCACAGCCAGACCACGCCCGAGCTATCCATCTGGGTGCTCAACCCTCCCAACAGTGCTTGCGAGGCCAGAATCTTTTTACCTGTCATAAGTATCACTGAGCCGGACGAGGAGCTTCTGGGTATCTGGAGAATAACAGATGTCCTGGACCAGAGTGTCACCAATGGCAGTCTGTGCAGAGACAAACCAAACACCTCAGGTCCTTGATCCCCCATAATGGGGAACAGCTCCTTATTGATCATCTGCTCTGTGCTGGGCACACCCATTGTCCCTAATCCCCTACAGTTTTAGTTCAATTTCAGGCTCAAGATGTTGCCCAGGGAAAGCCAGTTTCCTGGCTACCAAAGAGACCTCTGAGGGGCCTTTCAGCCTACCCTTTGTGATCCCAGTGTAGAGCCCCTCCTTTCCATTGTTCACAAATGCTTATTACCCACCTCAACACCTACAACTCCTTCAGGTGGGTATTTTCCCCACAGCTGAGAAGAAGGGGAGTTAGAGAAGCCCAGGGTTACACACACACACACCTTGACCCCGGTCTGAGCGGCCCAGGAGCCTAAGTTCTGAATCACTATGACCTATTTACTGTCTTTCGAGATGCAGCATCATACCCACCTCCTAGAGTTGTTGTGAGGATTAAATGAAATAATATACATAGAGTACCTGAAGCAGCAACTAGAACATTCTACAGGGCAAGGGCTCAGGGCAGGCAGTTTGATTGGAAGTAGGAACTAGAGAACTCATCTTGATGCTTTGCCTGGCAAGTGCACTGTTTTCACTTAGATTGTACGGGACAGGTCAATAACCTGCAACATTTTCTAAAGATACCTTGATTTGCCCTTTAGTTAAGACTACACATAATCTTGCTCATACCCAAGAACATTGTTTGTTGGGGTGGGGGGGGGTGCTAAGGGGGATTATAAGAGGACAAATGGCTCCCACACTATCCCTGGTGTCACCACCAGCTGCCTAGCAGAGCAGATGATAGTTACGCGGCAGTTACGTGGCAGGCATTGGTGGCTTCGGGTGCTCTAATCCTTGTTAGGGACCAGTAAGTTCAAGTTTCCATGACTAAGACTCCACTGTATTGGGACTGTCTGCCTCTGTGACCACAGCTGACCAATGTCCCTTCCTCTAGAGACAGGAACTCCTGCAGCCAGATCCCCTGTGCTCGCCAGGCCTTTCCTGTCTCTCTGATCCTGCCCTTCTCTCGTACTTTCTTGTGTCAATTTTAAAGTTGGATTCTCATCTGGGACTCTCACTGCCAGCTCCTAGGGAGGAACACGAAATGACAACACTCACAATGAAGAACGCTTTGTTACCCCATTTAACAAATGCCAAGCCTGAGCTTGGTTATGTTAAGTGCCTCCCACCATGAACAAGGTCCACAATGAGAATATCTTCCATTTTCTCACCAACATGCTTAAAGCGGTTCATTTGTAAATTTTACTTTGCCTTCTGAAACTCAAGCCATAGTGTTACATCTGAATCCATGAGGCTTGTTTATATGCTTTCAAAACTTAGAGAGAGCAGAACACTAAAGAAACTATAGACGCGATAGTTGAAAATTCACTGAGAAACACCCCAGCGGTGCCCACAGAAGGCCATTTTAGGGAAGGTCTTTTCTCGTGACAGCCTTGCCCTGGTCCTGACCTGGGCCCTCCCTTCTCTGCACACTAAGCATCTGTCATCTGCGGGCTGCCCTAGCCCTCCAGAACCTCCATGGGACTATTGCAGTACCTACCTCACGAGGTGACAGCAAGAATTAAATGGGATGATGCATGAAACACATAGCATGTGGTCTTGCACCGAGGGGTTCTCAAAAAAAATTCTCTATTATTATTATTATCACTACTACTAATACTATAGTACTAATACTACTACTACTACTACTACTACGTCTCACAAACTCTGGACATGTTATCAGGAGGGATCAGTCCCTGGAGAAGGACATCATGCTTGGTAAGGTAGAGGGTCAGCGAAAAAGAGGAAGACATTCAATGAGATGGGTTGACACAGTGGCTGCAACAATGGGTTCAAGCATAACAACGTTTGTGAGGAGGGTGCAGGATCGGGCAGTGTTTTGTTCTGCTGTCCATAGGGTCACTATGAGTCAGAATCGACTCGACGGCGCCTAACAAAAACAACTACTACTACTGTTACTATAATTACTACTACTACTATCATTATTATTAAGCCCCACCACCACAGAGGTCCCATGAGAAGGCCAGGCTATGTATTTGGTCCTCTCTGTCTACGTACCCATGCTTTCCTTGTCTCCTCCACCAAAGCACAGCCCACCCCACCTCAGCCCCATCCTCCACTGTAATTGAGGACACTGGCAGCTCCACCTTGTTTGCATGGATTTCATAGAATGACCCTTTTCTCTCAGAAATCCCCAATTCTCACACTTGAACTTGCACAGCCATGCCCCAGGCCCATTCCTGGCCTCTTAGCTAGAAGAGGATAGAAATTCAACACTCCTTGATTGTCTGACAGTTGGTCCCCTCCCAGAGAATTTTGCCTCCTGGAGACTTCTTACCTTTTCTTTCTCTTCCTCTCACCTCCATCAGTTCTCCTTTTGGCCTCAGCTGCCATGTGGCAGTCTCTCCTCATCCACCCTACCACAAAGGCTAATGTTGACAATTAAGAGTAAGGAAACCAGTCAACCTTCTCACCAAATAGATTCGATATTAAAATTCAGGCCTGACCATCTAAGATGTTCCTCTGGTCTCACACCGTTGGGAGCGAGGGAGAATGAAGAAAACCAAAGACACAAGGGAAAGATTAGTCCAAAGGACTAATGGACCACAACTACCACAGCCTCCACCAGACTGAGTCCAGTACAACTAGATGGTGCCCGGCTACCACCACTGACTGCTCTGACAAGGATCACAATAGAGGATCCCAGACAGAGCTGGAGACAAATGTAGAACAAAATTCTAACTCACAAAAAAAGACTTACTGGTCTGACAGAGACTGGAGAAACCCCTAGAGTAATGGCCCCGGACACCCTTTTAGTTCAACAATGAAGTTGCTCTTGAGGTTCACCCTTCAGCCAAATATTAGACAGGCTCATAAAACAGAATGAGACTAAAGGGGCATACAAGGCCAGGGGCAAGAACTAGAAGGCAGGAAGGGACAGAAAAGCTGGTAATAGGGAACCCAAAGTCAAGAAGAGAGAGTGTTGACGTGTCGTGGGGTTGGTAACCAATGTCACAAAACAATACATGTACTAATCGTTTAATGAGAAGCTAGTTTGTTCTGTAAACCTTTATCTAAAGTACAATAATAAAAAGGCAAAAAATTCAGGTCTGAAACACATCATGTACTACTCATCCACACTTAGGCTGGAACATTTATACTGGTAGGAGGCCTATCTTTGGGGATTAACTCTTTACGTTCGAACAGTAACAAATGACCATATCACATGAGCTCAGGTTTGATTTTTTTTAACCAACCTTTATCAAGTCTGCTGCTTCCTGGAAGTCCTAGATGGGGAAGAAATACAAAACCATATTAAAACAGGCAAGTTGTTGGTTATACACACTTTACAGCAATAATTAAAAAGAGCTGACCAGGGGGTGAGCTGGATAAAGAGGCAAGTCCAGGACGATTCCATCCTCTGCTTTTCTGGCCTTTAGTTCCCCACTCAGGGTGACAAAGGTTAGAGTGCTGTTCACATTCTCTGAACAAAAAAAAAGAGTCTTATTTTGTGAAGTAGAAAATTTTTCAAAAAGGAATCAAGAAATAAGAAAATAAATTTTTGTTACATATTTTTCTGTTTCAGTCACCTTTACATTGCCTTAGGTTTCTTGCAGTGTGGTCCTTTCTTGTGATAGGGGCCTAGGTTTGGGTTGCTGGGGTCTAGAGTGGAGAAAATCCTCTCTGGATTTGAACTTGAGAACCAAGAACATAACTGATTGGACGTGGCATCATCCCACAAGGCTACAAATCCCAGCTTCTTATGGCTTACAAACTGTGCCCTTAAAGTAAGTTATTTAACCTCTTTAAGCCTCAACTTCTTCATCTGTAAAATGGGGTTAATAATTAAACCTACCTCATAGGGCTGTTATAATGTTTTCTAATGCATTTTTTAAAATAACCACCTACAATGTAGTTATAAACTCTACTAGCGGAGGATATGACAGTGTGATAACAAATACAATATCTAAGTTATGAACAACAGTATGATATGAAACAAATCAGATTTACCCTAAGTAACTCAACCTAGACATAAAAATTTGATTTAAAATATGTACCACAAATGCTGATATAATATCCTTTCCTGTTACTGATACAACTTGGGGCCTTATCTGACCTTAGCGAGTGCAATATTTTTAGTGAAAACAAAGATTTGTGGCTTTCTCTCAAATCTCTCCCCTAAAATTTCTGTAACACTTAACCATATTTCAAAGAGGAAGAAATCTGGCATTGCTTATTAGTTTTCTCTAGTATAAAACTTACATTCTGAGACCCAAAGCTTGATAATCTTTGTTATTATATTTATAATTAGTATAAGACATTGCTATTTACAAAGCTTATTTTTCATACCTTATCTCATCTAAACTTATTTCCACCTCGGGTCTTGGTGTGTGTTGGGAGGCGGGGGAGCGGGTATTCCAAACCTGAGTCATTACAACTAATGTAGGGCTCAGTTTTGGAAAGGCCCTCAATCCAAATTCAGTAAGATCTGATTTTCAAAACTGAGTTCCTAACCAATGTTTCAGGATGTTTTCTTGCATTCAGTCTTGTCCCCTTACCCACAGAAACCAAAATTATATTTTTAAAATGTATATTGGATTACATTATATTTTGGCCTTTGAACTGCTTCAACAACTTCCCGTTGCACTTAGAATAAAATCTAAACTCGCACTATTAGCTGCCTAACTCTCCATCTTCATCTCCTGTCAATCACCCGCTTGCTCAGGGATCTACAGCCACTCTGGCTGTATGGAATATGCCTCGAGGCCTTTGTGTTTGCAGCTGCCTCTGCCTAGAGTGCTCTTCCTCTCACTCTAGGTCTTTGCACAGATGGCTTCATCTTATTCTTCAGCCCAAATGTCCCATGCTGCATTGGATACTGTTGTCCAGATTATTCCCCCCACCCCTCAGGGCCCAGACTAGGTGAGGTAAGCATGTCCCCTAAAGTGCAAAATTTAAGGAGGCATTCCTCTCAGGTGCCAACCTGAGGCCTTGCTTGCCTCTCCCTAGTCCTGTGTCTGACCTTGCTGCGGAAGTGTTGGCGGCTGACAGCTCTCAGCTGAGTCCTCTGGGAATTTCCCTTGGTCAAACAGAGCTACTTCTCTAAGATCATGGCCCTTTCAAGGAGTAGGGAAGGAACTCCCATCCAATGACCAGCTGAAGGAGAGTACAAAGGCCAGTCCCTTTGTCCCTCTTTGGAGGAAAGCTGCCCCCTGTGGATTTAGCCTAGGCCTTTCTCTGTTGCTGTTACTTTGCAGTTCAACTTCTCCATCAGCTTTCTTTACTCCCCTACCAGGACTGGTCCCAAGAATATCATCCTCAAAACTTTCTGCAAGCAAATGTGTCTCAGAATCGGCTTCCTGGGGTAACTTGCCCTGCAACACCTTTCCTAACTTCTTGTTAGCTGCTGTGGAGTCAGCTAGACACATGGTATCTTAGTCATCTAGGGCTGCTATAACAGAAATACCACAAGTGGATGGCTTTAACAAAGAGAAATTTATTTTCTCATAGTCTAGTAGGCTAGAAGCCCAAATTCAGGGCATCAGCGCCAGGGGAAGGCTTTCTGTCTCTGTCAGCTCTGGAGGAAGGTCCTTGTTATCAATCTTCCCCTGGACTAGGAACTTCTCCGCACAGGAACCCCGGGTCCAAAGGATGTGCTCTGCTCTTGGCACCGCTTTCTTGGTGGTATGGGGTCCTCTATTTCTGCTTGCTTCCCTTTCCTTTTTACCTCTTGAGAGAGAAAAGGTGGTGCAGGCCACACCCCAGGGAAACTCTCTTTGCGTTGGATCAGGGATGTAACCTGGGTAAGGGTGTTACAATCCCACCCTAATCCTCTTTAACATAAAGTGACAATCACAAAATGGAGGACAACCACACAATACCAGGAATCATCGCCTAACCAAGTTGACATATATTTTTGGGGGACACAATTCAATCCATGACACATGGTGACCCAAAGGACCTCCTTTTCCAACTCCCCACTCCCCACAGTTACTCCCTGTCTTATCATCCTGTTTATTGCCTTGATTAAATTTCTGTTTATTGTCCACACCTGTTTGTGGCTGCTTTGTCTCCCCTTCCAGGACATTTCTAGGCCTCTCTCCTCTGTGCCATTCCTACAAGGCCCTGACCTTTATCTATTAAGCTAAATCCAGGTCAAATGAAAACTAGTAGGATTGAGGTGCTGCAGCAACTCCTCTTCACAAGGTCCATGGATATAGTCAGGGCTCTTGAACTTTAAAGTTCAAAGTAAAGGCTCTCTTACTGTGGAATTTCACTGTGATGGGATGGGAACGCATTTGTGCAAAGTGTGCGTTTTGGTCCCCTGGCCCCACATATCATACTGCCTATTCTGCCCCTATGCACTCCCCTGCCGCGTTTGTCACAGACATCAGAGCCCCTATTTGAAATAAAATGGCATTCTGGGGAACTGGGACCATGGCTTTTCACTGATGCCTGGCACCCACTCAGACCAAAGTGTTGTTGAAGGTGGCCCTTTCTGTTTCTGCACCATGAACTTCACAAACTAAACTTGGCAATGTCTCAGATCAGTCACTTTGGTTCATCAGAAAGACTGTATGAGAATTTTTAGAAATAGCCGCTATTTGCTAAGTGATAGGTTCATAAAAGAAAATCACATTACTTTTTTTGTGAAACAGCACGGCTGCGGAACCCAGGGTAGCGTGACCACAGAGAGAGACCTCGGTCGTTGGAGTGAACCACCTCAATCCAAAACAGGAACCTTCGGACAAGGAATAGCCAAGGACAGGTGAGATAATTCCCATGCAAGTAGGTTGCAAACTTTTCATTTTCTTATTCTTTCATAATTATTTCACTAGCATGGTTAATAGCTTAAACGTGCTGTAAAAGGAGGTGCAAAGACTGGGCTAGCATCCTAGGGCTTCCCGGTGCTAGATGCGAAGGTGAAACATTTAAACGCACCAACACCTCCCCCACCTATCCTCCTCCCCTAAGAACTGAAAACCAGATCAGAATCTCCCCCCTACCTACTACCTGCAAACAAATAATAAATGGGCCTTTCCCTAAATATCATTCCCTCATCTAAAAAGCAGGTTCTGGTGCCATTCAGGAATGTTAAAAGATGCTCATTTACTTTGTGTAAAGTTGTCAGTTGGGTGCAGTTTTCGGATAAAAGCTGTTTCAGAAAGGTTCATTTCCCTTGCAATTTTTTGATGCATGTCTTTATCCAATTCCTAAATTGGAAACAAAAGGTTACTGAGACTCCAGAAACACAAATCAGACTTCCTTGGAAAGCAACTATCATTAATTAATAAAGCAGTTTATTAATATTAAAAGTTACATGTTTAAAAGGAAATAATCACCAAGGAATTCAAGGCACTTTTATAAAGATTGTTCTTCCGAAATTCATGCTTAAGATAATCTATAAAGACCACAGCTACCTCGGCCTCCACCAGTCTGAGTCCAGTACAACTAGATGGCGCCTGGCTACCACTGACTGCTCTGACAGGGATCACAACAGAGGGTCCCGGGCAGAGCTGGAGAAAAATGTAGAACAAAATTCTAACTCACAAAAAAAGACCAGATTTACTGGCCTGACAGAGACTGGAGAAACCCCGAGAGCATGGCCCCTGGACACCCCTTTAGCTCTGTGATGAAGTCACTCCCGAGGTTCACCCTTCAGCCAAAGATTAGACAGCCCCATAAAACAAAACAAGACTAATGAGGCACAACAGCCCAGGGACAAGGGCTAGAAGGCAGGAAGGCACAGGAAAGCTGGTAATAGCGAACCCAAGGTCAAGAAGGAAGAGTGTTGATGTGTCATGGGGTTGTTAACCAATGTCATAAAACAATATGTGTACTAACTGTTTAATGAGAAACTATTTGTTCTGTAAACCTTCATCTAAAGTACAACAAAAAAATACAAAAAAAGATAATCTGTAAAGAACTGTAGATGTACAAAGCTCAAAAACACTCTGAAAAATTGACTGGCCTGGCCTCTGTCTTTTGTCAGATGATTCTCTACCTGAGAGTATCCACTCTCTTCTAAAAGTCTCCACAAATGGAATCTGCAGCCTCCCTTTCTGTTGAATATGTTGGGTGAAGAAATGTTCAGCACCCACTCTGGGCAGGCTGGATTGCTCTTCAGTACACACTTTGTATGGTTCACTCCTTCTCATGGGTCAGCCCTCCTCCAGGAGGCCTTCTTAGACTACTCTGTTCAAAGGTGCTGTCCTCCTCCCCAACACTTTCACCACTACCAGTTACTCTGGAGTCAATTCCAACTCATGGTGGCCCCATATGTATCAGAGTATGCGCTCCATAGAGTTTTCAGTGATTGATATTTTGGAAGTGGATTGCCAGGCATTTCTTCTGAAGTGCCTCTGGGTGGACTCGAACCTTCAACCTTTTGGTTAGCAGTTGAGCACATTAACAATTTGCACCACCCAGGGACTCCCCCCAGCACTTAGACCATCTGGAATTACCTGCTGTATCTCTTAACTGTCTATCCCTAAGCTCTATGTGGGCAGACTGTGCTTTGTCTTCAGCCTGGAACAATGCCTAATACTTGTCCCAGGGTGGGAGGAGCTCAAGAAACATTTGCGGAATGAATAAATACATTAGTTTACTAAATCTTCATTTTTAAAAACCCTCAAGATAGGCTGGGGACCATGGTCTCAGAGGACATCGATTGGCATAACAAAGTTTATAAAGAAAATGTTCTACATCCTACTTTGGTGAGCAGCATCTGGGGGTCTGAAAAGCCTGTGAGTGCCCATCTAAGATACTCCACTGGCCCCAACCCATCTGGAGCAAGAGAGAATGAAGAAAACAAAAGACACAAGGGAAAGATTAGTCCAAAGGACTAATGGATAATAACTACCACAGCCTCCACCAGACTGAGTTCAGCACAACTAGATGGTGCCCGGCTACCACCACTGACTGCTCTGACAGGGATCACAATAGAGGCTCCCAGACAGAGCTGCAGAAAATTGTAGAACAAAATTCTAACTCACAAAAAACGACCAGACTTACGGGTCTGACAGAGACTGAAGGAACACCGAGAGTATGTCCCTCGGACACCCTTTTAATTCAGTAACGAAGTAACTCCTGAGGTTTATTCTTCAGCCAAAGATTAGACAGGTCCGTGAAACAAAATGAGACTAAATGGGCACACCAGCCCAGAGGCAAGGACTAGAAGGCAGGAGTGGACAGGAAAGCTGGTAATGGAGAACCCAAGGTCGAGAAGGGGAGAGTGTTGACATGTCGTGGGGTTGGCAACCAATGTCACAAAACAATATGGGTATTAATTGTTTAATGAAAAATTAATTTGCTGTGTAAACCTTCACCTAAAGCATAAAAAAACCCAACCCTCTAGATAGATATTTTAACCCCTTACAGTTGAAAAAATTAAACTCAGAGAGGTCAATATGTCTAATAAATGGCACAGTGATTAAGAATGTGGGCTTTGTAAATGTGAGAGAATGGTAACAACTAGTGAATCTAGAGAAAAGGTATATGGGTGTTCATTGTACTATTCTTGAAATTGTTCTATAAGTTTTTAATTTTTCAAAATAAAATGTTAAAAAAAAATATTGTGGGCTTTGGAAACAGAATTGGATTTGCATCCTAGGTCAACCCCTAGTAGCAGTACAAGAGTAGGCAAATCATTTAACCTCAAAGAGCCTCAGTTTCCATATTTTTAAAATGGGGGTGACAGTACTTAGATATACGCACATATGTGTGTATATGTATACAAAGGTTCCTAGGCGGCCCAAATGGTTGGCGCTTGACTGCTAACCAAACAGTTGAGGTTTTGAACTCACCCAGTGTTACCAGTACCACGGAAGAAAAGGTCTGACAAACTGTTTCTGTTAAGATTACAGCCAAGAAAATTCTATGGAGCAATTCTACTCTGTAACACATAGAATCACCATGAGTTGAAATCAACTTAATAGCCACTAACAACAATTATACACACACACACACACACACACACACACATTCACTCAAGAAAAAGACTGGCTCAGAAATATGAGTTTGAGTTTTCCTTTTGAAAATGAAAATCAGTCTTTGAATCAACAAAATGCTCGCTACTTAGGATTTGAATTCTAAAGAAGTCTCAAGAAAAATGCATTTCGCTTTGGCCAAACGTATTATTCTTGAGCTCGTCATACCCAGGAGGAGACAAAATTATCATTTTATACTAATAAATTCGTAATTCACTCCTCTCAGTTATGCAAGTTAAACACCCTTTGTCTTTTAGTTGATTCAAATGCTTTTGAAACCCTCTCCATATAATTGTATAAGGTATAAAACAACGGTTATTATAAAAAATCAATCATGTTTTTTTTTTTTTTTTTTTTTTTTAAATATTTTATTGTACTTCAGGTGAAGGCTTACAGAACAGATAGTTTCTCATGTAACAGTAACACACATGCTGTTTTATGACATTGGTTAACAACCCCACAACATTTTAACCCTCTAAATTCTCAACTTTTTTTTTTCTTTTGTGAAAATACACATAGCCAAAGATACGCCATTTCAAAAATTTTTTTTTTTACATACACATTTAAGTGACATTGACTACGCTCTTCTAATTGTGCTGTTATTCTCACTTAAGATGAAGGCTTACAGGACAAAATAGTCTCCCATTTAGCAGTTACTACAAATGTTGCCCTATGACAATGGTTAACAATCTCACAACACATCAACAATATCCTTACTCTACTTTGTGTTCCCTATCATCAGCTTCCTACTCCCCTTCTGCCTTCTGGGCCTTGTCACTGGACTCCTGTACCTCGTTACTCTCATGGTTTTACTGGGCTGTCCACTCTCAGGCTGATCAGTGAACCTTGAAGGTAACTTTACCACTGAGCTAAAAGGGTGTCTGGGGGCCATACTCTCAGGGTTTCTCCAGTCTCCTTTAGGCCAGAAAATCTGGTCTTTTTTTTTTTGTGAGTTAGAATTATGCTCTACATCCTTCTCCAGCTCTGTCCAGAACCCTCTGTTGTGATCCTGGTCAGAGCAGTCAGCGGTGGTAGCCGGGCACCATCTAGCTGTACTGGACTCAGTCCGGTGAAGGTCTTGGTAGCTGTGGACAATTAGTCCTTTGGACTAATCTTTTCGTTGTATCCTGTTCTCTTCATTCTCACTTGCTCCCGAAGAGATGAGACCAGTGGAGTATCTTAGATGGCCGCTCACAGGCTTTTAAGACCCCAGACACTACTCACCAAGGTAGAATGTAGAGCATTATCTTTATATGTAGTGTCATGCCAATTGAGCTAGATGTTCCCCGAGACCATGGTCCCCAGAGCCCTCCATCCAGCAACTCAGTCCCTCGGGGAGTTTGGATCTGTCCATGGGGCCTCCATGACCTTTCCTTGTACAGGTTGTGTTAGTTTTTTAAACTATCAGCTGATGTAAAAATCCTAGCATGAGACTTAATTAAGCTTTTCTTAAAGGACCTTTGTATTCAAACCCTACAGAAGCTCATCGTCCTGCAGAAAGAGAAATCACTTAATAGACTGATACTTATTTTGTGAAAACCTAAATGTACCACGACGGGGTTTTTATTTGTTTTTTACTTCACGTTTTTCTTTCGTAAGATTAAATCCAGTAATGCATGTAAAGTGCTAATCACAGTGCTCAGTACATAGTAAGTACTTGACAAATGTTAGCTTTTGATTTTGAATGGCTCCAAGCCCATGTTTTACCTGCCACATTACACTGCCTCCCCATAACAAATGCAAACTAGTACTATCCATTTAGCACACTGCAGGTAGGAAAACCAATGTCTAGCAGTTAAAATGCACTCCCACAAGGTTTCTGGCGGAATGCAGCAATAAATCAACTACCAACTGCTATACTAACCCTTCTGGCTATAGAACTTTATGTGTCACAGTGTGGTCCCCAGGCCAACAACATCAGCATCACCTAAGAATTTGTAAGAAATGCAGAGTCTCAGGCCCCACCCCAGATCTCCTGAATCAGAATCTCCATTTTAACAAGATCCCCAGGTGATTCGTATGCATGTTAAAGTTTAAGAAGCATTAATGTACAGCACATGGCCCTGTGTCCAAGAGGGTTAGTATCTAGGTGGGGAGTCAAGAGAGCCACAGAAAGCATCACTGAGAAATAACAGAAAGTATATAACTGAAATACCAAGAATATAAAGTTGAGATTTAGACTATAAAATCTCTAGGACTTTAAACATGGGGCCTTGTAATGGACC